ATCGATGAGTTTAATATATATTTGGATTTTCTAAATTTTAAATTAGCAAATATTGACATATACGGATGCAAAATATAATGGTAAGAAAATAAAGCAATCATGAGAATTAGATAATTAATTTACGAATTTGTATCTGTAATTTATATTTGTTCAGTCACACTTTATTGAAGTTAGTTGGAAGGCATCTTCGAATTCTTTGTTTTTTTCATCCACGCTATAAATATTGTCCTCTCAATGTATTCCATAGACAAAAGTCGACTGAGATCATTTCTAGCTTTATATGTTTAAAATCAATTGATAATTATATAACTGTTCCACAATTAACTAATTTTGTAGTTCTTCAAAAACAGGTTGCCAAACATATTTATTTAATGGACTGCAAATTTTAAAAGCATTAGAAAAATTCAATTTAATTACTTCAAATTTGTAGAGTTTCAATCCAGACTCATGATACTCAAATTTTACTTTCTCACAAAGGATTAACTTTGTTGAATATTTGCAACTACCACCATATATCCAAAATCCATCAAAGACGTTTCAACTTGAAAAGTTATTGACGACTATTAGTGTTTCAAATACATTTTGATGATATAACCACAAACAAAACCTTTCTAGCATGTGGTCCAATTGATTTTTAAGTATATTATACACTATGTTTTACTCTAAATTACCTTTCATGATCTTTTTTTTTTTTTACAACAATCCATTGAATCTAATTCAAATACTAAGATTTGCTAGAGTAAATCTATTGATTTCTCGTTTAATTTTATCTCACTTGTACTAAATATTAAAGCACGATGTAGACACCAATCAATCATTGTAAAAAAAAATATTATTTTATCTTTCTTACGACAACAAAATTCTAGCATTTGTAATATAACATGTTTGCTCATCCACCTATTCTTTTCTTTAAAACAATCTCTCTACTCTTCTGTTATTCTCCAACTTAGCTTCAAGCCATTAAATTTGTTATCAAACTTGTTTTCTAAGATGCCAGTAACATAAAAATAAAATAAATTTACTAATAAAATTTGAGGATAATTAATGTTAGTATTATCAAGTAAAATTCAATGTTTCCAATTTGCTTGTAGTTTTAATATCCAATCATCCATATATTTCATTTTACCCTTTTAAGAATTAAATGGAAAAGCTTGTAAAAATAGAACAAATTTCAACTTTAAT